ATTGATGACTGTAGGAAAATTATGTGGGTCTACTACTCTCTTGAAGCATAATTCGAAGTTTTTCCTTCATTCATCAAGTTTAGAGCACTTGTGAAAAATCAGAGTGGCCGTAAAATAAAAAATCTTCGAATAGACCATGGTGGTGAGTTCATCTATACACCATTATGAACTACTGCAAGGATAAAGGAATTCAAAGGCAACTCACTATTTGAAGAAGCCTGCAACAAAATTGTGTCGCCGAGAGAATAAATCAGACGATTGTGGAAATAGAAATAAGTATGTTGATAAGGAAAAGGCTACCCAAAATTTTTTGGGCTAAAGCTATTCATACGGCAGTATATATCCTGAATCGTTGCCCAAAAAAAGCAGTCCAAGATTGAACCCCTTTCGAAGCGTGGCATAGAAAGAAACCGGCCATGGATCATATCAGGATTTGTGGTAGCATTGCCTACTCGCACATTCCTACCAAAAAAAAAAAAGATAAGTTTGATAAGAAAAGTGAAAAAAAAAAAAAAACCTATATTTATTGGGTACAATGATAAATCAAAAGTGTTTCGCCTTTACAGTCCTGCAACCGGAAGCTTTTGTCTCTAGAGATATAATTTTTTACGAAATGACAACATAGAATTGGATGGTGAATACATCACAACCTTCCAACATGGGAGAATTTTTTGAGGAGCCAGCAGCAATTGACGAGCAAAAACCGATACTAAGGGAACAAGGCATAATTAATTCCAGTTTCAATCCCGATTCTCCGGTACTAAAATCTCGTTCATTATAAGATGTTTATGAGAATTGTGATGTTGTATTTTTCTGTGGTGACCCTAAAAGTTATGAAGATGCAATCAATGAGGATGTATGGAGGAAAGCGGTGAAAGAAGAAATCAACATGATTGGAAAAAAATGAAACACGAGAATTGATGGATCATCCAAAGCACAAAGATGTTGTTGGAATGAAGTGAATTTATCAAACAAAGTTCAACAAAGACGAAAGCTTCCAAAAACGTAAAGCGAGACTTGTAGCAAAATTCTATTCGTAGCAACCCAGGACAAGCTTTACCGAAATATTCGCACCTGTGGTAAGAATGGAAACCATTCGAGTCATCCTCTCATTTGCTGCCCAGCTCAAACTTCAAGTATATCAATAGGATGTAAAATTAGCATTCCTCAATGAAGATCTTGAAGAAGAAGTGTACGTTGAGCAGCCTCTTGGATTCAAGGTGAGAGATAAGGAGGACAAAGTCTATCATCTTCGGAAAGCGCTTTACGGATTAAAGCAAGCTCCAAGAGCCTAGGACAATAAAATTCATTGTTTTTCAGGTAAGGACTTAAGCAAAGCCCAAATGATCTGTCTCTTTATGTGAAAAGAGAAGGCAATGATTTTTTAATCGTTTGCATTTATGTCGATGATCCCATCTACATTGGAACATCGACATCAACAGTTGAATCCTTCAAGCAAAACACTAATTTTGTGTTCTTTTGTGGATTTTACCAAATATTTTTACTATGCAAATTCTTTTTTCCCTCTAAAAGTATCAAATCAAACTATTATTTGTATTTTTTTATATTCCACTGCAAATTTATTTTACATTCAAAACATCACATCAACTTTTATTTATATCACATCAAACAACTATTCAAATTCAACTTTTTATTATTAAAAAATCCAAATCCAAAAACTAAAACCCACAAACAAACACACCCTAAAGATTTTGAAAACGAAAGATTTGGAATTAATGAAACACTTCTTTCAGATTCAAGTAAAGCAATAAAATGGTGAAGTTTTCATTTCTCAAGAAAAATATACTGAAGATCTTTCAAAGAGGTTTCACATAGAGAATTGCAATCCAGTCTCTACTCCCAAGGCGAATGAAAAATTTGTAATTGATGATGGTGCAAGGAAGGTGGCTAGTACAAAATTTAGAAGCAAAAAATTTATAATTGATGATAGTACAAGAAAAGTGGCAGTACAATATTTAGAACTCTCTTTGGTTCTCTGATTTATCTTTCAAACACAAGTCTAGATATTGTGCATGTGGTTGGCATAATCTCAAGGTTTATGAGCGACCCAAGTGAAAGACACTTTGCAGCTTCGAAAAGAGTACTGAGATATCCTCAAGGAAGCAAGCAAATATGAATCAAATATGGTAAAGGAAATAATTTCAATTTGGTCGGTTTCAATGATAGTGGTCAGCAGGTTAGTCAGATGATAAAAAATTACCCCCGGTGACATATTTTGCATTGGTTCTTATGTGATATCATGTAGTTCCAAGAAGCAAAAATCAGTGGCATCATCATTTGAAGCGGAATGTATTTCGGTAACGGAGCTACGTGCGAAGCTGTCTGGTTGAGAAGGTTGTTTGTTGATCTTCATCAAACTCAAAAAGGGCCACTTATTATTAATTGTGACAATAAGTCAGCGATTGCTATGACCAAGAATCTTGTGTTTCATTCTAGAATGAAGCACATCGAGCTACGTTGTCACTTTATTCGCGACATGGTGAACAAGGAAAAAATCATGGTGGAATTTGTTGATGGAAAATTTCATTAATAATGCAATCGACATATCTTCAAACCATATATCCTATAGCGATTTATATGATAAAAACCACATTATTAACATACTTGGATCTATCGAGTTCCTTAATGCGGAATTGAGAACTCGAACAGTTGGTATTATGGCACTCCTCAACTAAATCGCCTAATGAGTCATTCGTAGTCAATTCCGATAGGGAGAATAGAGAACAATGATTGATTTGGTGTATTGGGGACCATAACCGAATGTCTTTTATATAGTGATCAATAGGCCGCCCATAATCACCTAATTGATTAGCTATTTGGTATCTGCTCAATTTATCATATATCAATAAGGTAGTAATTGATTTATTTCATAATTAGATCACCTAATTTAAGTTAATCAAATAAATAATTGATTGTTTCTATAATCAAATCTCATAATCTAAGTCAATCAAATAAATTATTGATTATTTCTATAATTAGATTATGTAATCTAAGTCAATCAAAATAGCTAATATAATCATACATTATTCGTCTATATTTAGATATAGAAAATATTTTTCTAACATTTTTTAGCACTAAAGAGCAGTGACTTGTCGCGCGATCAATCAAATATTTCACCTACTCCGTGATCACAATTTAATGTAATATAGGGGAAGGGATCGTCTCAACATGGATTGTGTGATTCACTCTTTCGTGTTCTAATGCAGTAAATAAAGAGGGAATTTTCTTTTAGTATCTAATGAAAATAAAATAACAAAGCAATTAAATTAAGGGGAACTGACTATCAAGGGGATGTCTGGCTCAAGGGATGATGCAGTTATGGCACTTGTGTTTTATCATTAATTCAATAAAATTAATTCTTATTAAAGTATCAATAAATTGGTTATAGTTATCAACAAGCTCTGACAACCAATTTTTCCTTACAGTGTAGGTAATTAAGGTACGACCGTTAACTACCCATAGTTAAGCAAACAAACCTAGGTGCGCCCATAAGAATATTGCCTAACCGCATTGTAATCTAGAAAAACCCAATTCAAAATAATTACTACCTAAGAGGAGCAATTAGATTTGATTGTCTAATCCCCGGGAAGGAACTATTCAACCCGGTTGTCACCTATTCAAGTGCGAACACAATTACGGATATCCTACCTAAATTGACTTTAGATTATCAAACTAATTTAAATATCGGTACCTAAATATTCAATCAATCTAACATCACAAACGCTATTCTCAGAATTAGACAAATATTGATAATAAAAAAGAACTTTTATAAAGAAAATCAAGAATCTCCAAAACAAAAGAACCAAAACATTATCACCCCTCAAACCAGAAAAGTATCTACTCCATAATCAAATAACAAAGAACAAAAGAGAAAGATAAAGTCATAGCGGGAGGGGGAATCTTCTCTGTCGATTTGCTCCTGCGCGCTCCTGTGCGTTTTTTTTTGTCCTAGCCGTTATCTTCTTTTGAAACGTGTGATCCCTCATTTTATTTAATGTTTGCCCTAATTATTTTGCAAATGGGCTTTTGGGCCTTTAATTAATTTTATTTTCTTTTTTCTGTCAATTATGTCAAATTTAATATTTGCCCTCTGCACACAGCAAATAAACAATTCGCATATAAATTAGGTAGAATCCAATCAAAATCATCCAAATATCGCATATGATATGAATATAAAACGCATGCGATTTCTAACTATCAAGCAGTCTATGGATTTCCTTACCAAAGTCAGGTTTGCAAAGAAATTCAAGGAGATAAAAAAAGGCTTGAAATTTACAAATTAAGGAGGGGTGTTAGAGAATACTCAATTTGTCATTTTCATGAAAAAATATTGAACATCTCTTACAAAATAAATATCATTGGAAATAGTTTTATGATAGGTCTTTATTGTTAATTATCCAAAGTAATTATACTGTTCAAATTGGAGTGGAAAAAATTAAAAATAATTCTCATTCAAAAATTCATTGTTTTTTATAATTTTTTTCTCCAATTTTCCGACAAAGGGGGCTTGTATTGTAATCAAAATTTCGGCTTGATATCTTTATTGTAGCAGTAGTAATTTCCATGAAAATGATGAGAAATAAAATTGGAAGGAAATTGCCTTACCACCGTGTGTGTATATATATATATATATATATGCATACATGCACATATACATACACATTATATATGCGTACATATCCGTTCTCATGTCCAGGTTACTGTAAACATGTTAATTTAAAATAAGTATAATTAGTAAATAATCAAGAATATATAATAAGTATAATAAGGATAAATAATTATAAATTAAGATTAAAATATGTCAAAAAAAAATGACAATATGGACATGTTAAGCGGACTGTACGGATTATATATGTAATGATTAATAAAATAAAGATCAAAATGTTCTTTGCAACAATTAAGAAAAAAACATGCCGAAGACAAGCTGAGGAATCAAATTCATAAAACAGTTACAAGAGAAAACTAGGAACAAATAAATATGTATTAAGATATATGTAAGCATCTATGATATAAGTAGAAGTAACATAGTTTTGTGTCTGAATTCCAAAATCACCAACAAAGGGTGCTCAATTATTTGTCCTAATTTCATACCTTTTTCGAATCCTAGCTATAGCTAAAACACCAAATGCAAATACACATATCATATCACTAAACTCCCCTGCCCATAAGCTTTTCCTCGACAAGACAAATCGCCCTACATCCCCTGGTCGATCAGATAATCCGCCAGCCTCTCCACAACCATGTTGCATTGTCCCGGCGTCACCGGCTCCTCATACACACCAAAAACTAGCGCTTGCCCCGTCTTCTTGATGGTTATCCCTCCCGACCCCTGCCAAAATTCAAACTCGTAAATAAAGTTTTGTGGAATGTTTTAGCACTCATCTAACTTATGGGAGGTTCGCTACAATGATAAGAGAGTGTTCTTGATCAAATTAGGAAGATCAAAACCAGCAAGATTCGATCAATAACTTTGGTAATAATCTATCTACATTGTATGAGTTGTAAATGTAATTTTCACACAAGCTTTTGGGGGGGTTAAATATTTATGTATACCTTCTTTCCACGGATGACGGCGCCTGGTTCGCCTTGGATCACCATGTATTTTGCGCCGCCGAAGAACAGACCGGTTGGGGCGAGATGTCCTGGCTCGTTGAAATCAGTCAGTATACCGTTGATTTCATCTGGTTTGAGCTGCAAATGTAATAGAATTGGATTAAAGATGCACATTGTGAACACAAATTGCAAACTATGTGTGGAAAAAAATGCAGATGTGGAATGTGATGGCTAATGATTTGCTCGAACACGAAATCATGCTTAAGAACTGACTTGCTGCTTATCAATCAAATCAGATAAATTTCTCAGGTCTACAGATTCACAATTGTATCAACAAAAACAGAAGCAATGTTGTTAGAATTATTCCTGGATATTAAGCAGATTAGAAATTGGGGAATTCAACAGCAATTTAGGGGAAACGGCAAAAACCTATGGAATTGTTCTAAGCAGATAAGAATCGATATAGATAACACTCAATCGAAAGCTGAACTTCAGAGTTCAGATCCAGTGATTCAGAGCAACACGAAATTAGGTTTTCAATCGTAAAACAGAAAATAATAAACAAAATCTTCATCAGAGATTCGCAACTGCGTAATATAAAAAAAGGTACGGACGTCAGGAAATGCGGCGCTCTTCGCCCAGACGACGCCGTCGTGGCCGAGAATAGCTGCGGCGCCGAGTTGGTGGCCGGTGCCGTCGATGTCGCACATCAAATGATCGTCGACGTACGTCTGCCACGACATTGTGGATCGGAAACTGCGACGGACGAACAAAAAATGGAAACAGAAAAACTACAACAGAGAATAGCAATGGCAATAGTGCGCGATGCAATGGGAGATGCGGTGAGATGGAGGAGTATTTGAAGCAGAGAGAGGAAGGCACTGAATGGACGGAGGATCCAGAGCTGGTCTCCATCGGCTTCCAATGGCGTCCCCTTAAGCCTCCGCCATTTATGGAGGAACAATGTTCACCGAATTTCCTGCGTTTTGACATCCATTTGTTTGTTTGAATCCATACATTTCCTTATTACTATATTTTAATTTGCATAATTAACGTAATAGGATGGCTTATTAGTGTCATTTTAAATTTAAATTAATATCATTCATTAGAATCGCTATGTTCTGTCAACATTAATTTTTTAAATTCTTAAAAATAATAATAAATAATATAATTTCTTTTACAAAAATCAAAAAAAAATCCAAATACTTATTAAAAAAAGATAAAAAAAAAAATTTCAAATATTCAGCTTAAAATAATATATTTCCTTTGTCCCATAAGAAGGGTTCTATTTTCGAAAATCTCAAAATAAAGATATTATTTCCTAATTTAGTAATTGTACTGATAAATATCTTTTTAATTTACAACATATTAGACAAATGTCACCACATTTATATTACACAATACTAATAAGAGTATTTTTGTCTTTTTTATTACAATCCAATATAATATTAATATTAAAAAATTTACGTGTAAAAAACAAACGTTACATTTTATATTGGACGGAGGAGTATGTAATACTTTTGATACAATTCTCTATACCACACATTAAAAATCAATTCATCTAAAACATTGTTTAAAGAGAGCCAATTTTTTTTAATAAAATAATATATATATATATATATATATATCGATTATTTTGTATTATGGTTTAATGTACTTTTTAATTGATTAGTGGAATTTTGTAAAATTATTTGTATATTTGTGTCTTAAAAATAAAAAAATAAAAATTTTTAAAAAATTAGAGGTATTGTGATACTTAAATATAATTATTTTTACTAGAATAAAAAATATGATATCTTTTAATAATATAAATGAAAATTATAAAATTATTAATTAAGTTGCAACTGAAGGATTATAATTTATTTTCTTTTATATAATATTATATCAAAATATTATTTAAAATATTATTAAAAAAACATTTATTTCAACCAATTTATACAACCAAACAAACTTGTTATTCAAAATGAAGCATTACAATCAGATATTTATATTACGGTAGAACTTTCAATATAAAATCAACATAATTTTTTACGGCATAGATCATGCGTTGAGTTAAAATATTAAATATTTTAATATATTTAAAATATAATTTAATAATATAAATTAATATTAAAAAATTATAGAGTTTGTAGCATGGGTGTTAAAAAAAAATTTAGAGCACCTAATCCATGGGCTATTTTTATGTAAATTAACTTATAATGTTTCTATATACTCTCTTCATCCCATCAGAATTGAACCTTTGATTAGGGATACGGTATTTAAGGTAATAATATTTAATTGGTTAATAATATTTAGTTATAATATTATTATATTATTTTTTATATAATTAATAATATTTATAGTTTTAAAATAAATTTAATATATATGATTAAAAAAATTAAAACATATGTTTAAATATTTAAAAATTATATAGCAATTAAAAAATATATATGCAATACAGATATCATTTTGTAGAGAATAAAATATTTTAAAATCCAAGTAAATAAAAAAATATTTTTGTTTATTTATAATTAACATAAATCAATATTCATAGACAAAACACCCCATGTTAACAAAAGAACACTGTATACACTAAATAAAATATATAATATTTAATGTATCATTAATAAAATAATAATGCTATAATACCTATAATTTATCTCAAAGCATCAATTACATATATTTAATCACAATTATTACACCGTTATAATAATAGCAATATGTTATTATTAATGAATGAATTACATCAAGTTTAAATAGTAAAAATAAATAAATAAATTGTTTAACTAATCAAAATTTACAATATATATAATATTTTTTCTATTTATTTGAATTATATATAAGAAACCTCAGTAATAATAATAATAATGGAAAAAATTATTTTTAGATCAAATATAATCAAAATTTATCAATTTTGGTCATAATATAGCCAAAACTCTATCATTTTTTGTCTCAATATAACTAAAACTCATCATTTTTTGTCCCAATATAAAATTTTTATTAATTTTAGTCCCAATATAACTAAAACTCATCATTTTTTGTCTTAATATAATCAAACTTTATCTTTTTTGGTCCCACCGTCAACAAACTGACGAAAAATGCTGCAAGATTGTGCAATTTCTTCAAATATAAGTATAAGATTTGATTTCTTTTCACGTCAGCATTTTCCGTCGGTTTGTTGACGGTGTAAGACCAAAAATAATGTTTGATTATATTTGGACCAAAAAAATAAAGTTTGATTATATTAACACAAAAAAATAATGATTTTTTATTATATTAAGACTAAAATTGATAAAAAAAAAAAAAAAATTATATTTGGACAAAAAATGATGAGTTTTGATTACATTGGGACCAAAATTTATTTTTTTCCTAATAATAATATTTTTTATAACAATAAATTTACGAAATTGAATTAAAGCAATGGCATCTATTTTTTTTTTTTTAAGTTACGTCTTTTTTCTTTCTCGTCTATTATTATTATTGAAACATTAAATAATTATTCTTTTATTAAAGAGAAAAAAGGAAGATCAAAGAAACATCTTTACAATGAAAGAGCGTAGAAAAAGAAAAAGAACGAAATAGACAACTTTTTAAATATATATATATATATATATATATCTGTAAATAAAACACAAGCACGTGTGAGTTACAAAAATAGATTTGAGAAAATCATAATTTAATGCGATGGAACTAATAATTAATAATTATATTAGAAAAAAAAAATGTTGATACAAATACGATTTTACAGATTAACGGTTACTAATACTCCCTCCGTCCCGGCCAAGATGACTCATTTATTTAAGGACACGGTATTTTAGGTATAGATTAATAAGTTATTAATAATAAGTCATGGTATTATTTTATTATTTTTATATGAGTAGTGTTGTTGGCATTTTAAATATTTTTATTTATATATCAATAAAATATGTACAATATGGTTATTATTTTGTAGAGAATAAAATTTTATATAATACAGATAAATAAAAAAATTTATTTATTTATTTATAATTAACTTAAAACTAATTTTATTAAAAATAATGTTACTACTAATCCAAGATCCAATAGGCTATATTCTCTCGAAATCAAATTAACATCGAAGAAAACTTAAAGAAAACTTTGATTTATTACGGAAGCAACAGTTCAAACTCAGTTTACCCTAATATCAAACCAACCGACATCAATCACACATCCAAGACCCAACTACAAACGACACGCCACGGAAACGCAACAAACACACAAACCCGAACCCTTATCTACGGAAACACAATCGATTTCAAGCCTATCACACCGCGAACAGCATATACATCGCGAGACACACATAAAGGCACAAATCGATTAAACCAAACCGTAGAAACACCGAGGGAAGAGGCGCGCATCAACGGGGAAGAGGAACTCCCAACTCGCCGGACAGATTCACCGGAGAAGGCAGACGCGATGACGAAGGAATCGCCTAGGGCATGAGAGAAGAATCGCGAGAAGGTTCTGTTATGTATCGTATGTTCTGGAATGAAGTGTGAACCGGTTCAATGGATCAGCCTATATATATAGGACAGAACAGACCAGCGGTCCAGACCGGTTCAAACCGGTCCAGCCCGGATCAAAGCCAGGCAGCTTGCGAACCGACGAGTCTCTCAAAAGATTGGGTCGGGTAGTGGGTTGCCGGGTCCGGGCTTCAATTTGGGCGGGTTGGTTGTGTGCATTCTAGGCCTCAATTATCACGGGCCAAAATATATAACAAATCTCCACCTTATTTTGGGCGTGGAAGATTGTTTTCTCGGGTGTCATCACGGTCCGAACTTTCATTGCTTCCTTATATTTTAGTTCATTTTAAAAAACAGTTCATTTTAGCCTATTGTTGAATTACTCTCCTGCACAAAGAAAATTGAAATCAAGTTAGGTTTAAGACAATATGAAAACCTAATATGATACATAATAAAACCTACAGCTACACACAAGTAGCACCGGCTAATCAAATGTATCAAAGCATACAATTTTCACACAAGATACAAACATATCAACTTTCCAAAGCATTGTATCTTCACCAATAGGATTATACTCAAATTCAACAATTAACAAAGCTACTAAACATTGTAATTGTGTCTTACAACAAGAACATGCATCACACAATATACAAACACGAAAAACAGCAAGCTTTCTAGAGCACATATCATTTACAATCAATGATAACAAATCACCACCAAAGCAATCATAATGTTTAGGAACTACATTCAAATTTTCATTCTTAAGTAATGAGTTCATATCTTCTTTTAAAGCTTCAAAACATTGACACTTATACCAAGAATTACTTGTCTCCCTAACAATCATAGGTTCATTCACATGTAAGTCATCAAACATACAACAAGCTAAAGAAGATAACTTCAAATTACCAAACATAGAGAACAATATAGGACTCTTCCTAACTCCATCTCTAACAAATAGGTAATTTTCAATCTCATCTTTCTCATTTAAATCAGTTCCAACATTGCTTTCAATTTCAGAAACTGAATTTTCAAAATTTTCCTTAATATGCTGCCCAGCAGCAACACCAATTTGAAAATCATCAACAAAGATTTCAGTTTCACTGTTTCTATCTAACTCCACCATATTTTGACCACAATTGTCAAAATCAGCAATAACAACATTTTCGTTTAAAGAATCAAAGTGTTGCTCAGCAGCAGTTTTCACACACAAAACAGAATCAGAAATCATATCAGCATTAACTAAAATGTCATAATGCACACAATCTGATTCACAACAAGTATTATCTACATGTATTTCACAAAACTGCACATATTTGTAATCAACAACAACTTTTTGACTTTCAAAAGACTTGCAAAGAAAATCAGTGTTATTCTTTTCAACCTCATAATCAAATTCAACATCAATTTGCACAGTATCAACAGATTTAGCACGAATTTCAGATTCAAGATCAATATTAAGAGGTTTATCATCACAAGAACATACTTCTTCACTTACAACATGCA